GGTGGGATGGCGGGGGGGTGGAGGAGAGGGAGGAGGCGGCGCTGAGCGCAGGATTCCCGAGAGCCGCCTCCCCCCCCTCTCTCCGCGAGAGCGAGGAAGAGGAGAGTGACGCCTACGGAGGTTTTCAATCGGAAGGCGCTATTATTGGAAGTAGTCGCTCTATCAGTAGAAACTCTATGGTGAAAAACTTCTGGGATACATGAATACTGTATATAGCGGAAGACTTTCAACCTACACACGGATGGATCCCTTAACGTAGAAGGGGATATGGCTTTCAGAGCACCAAGGAAGGAAAAGCGGGAAGGAAAAGTTTGAATGTTGAGATAAATGGTTACATTGCCGTGTAGCTTTTGTCTAGTACGGTTTTTAATAAGCCGAAAATTATCAGATTGTCTGAACTTTAGTACTGTATCTCTTCCTCTCTCCACCTTGGAAAAAATGCTTTTCTTACTCCATATCTGATAAAATATTGTAGCAACACCTTGAGCATAATTCTGCTTGCATGGGAAATTAATGCAGTGGTTGCCTGGTTACTACACTCCGTGCTGTTTCCTTTTTGGGGGGGGGGGTTGTTGTATACATCGAACGTTTCCAGTGTGTGGGTCATTGATTTGTTTTTCATATTTGTTGGCGTATTCTTATTAAGATTTTGATAGCTTCGGTTTCCATCGCTTGTACAGGTACACCAGTATTGTATCTACACCTGGAGATTTATTTCTTCCAAGTGCTTCCTTCGAGCACTTTTGAAAACTAGTTTATTCATCACAGGATTCTTCTTCAAAGGAATCGATCATTCTTGCTTCTCAGAATGGTTTTTTCATACAGTATGTTGTTTTCATCTTTTTGCTGTTTTATCATGGTCAGATAGTGTTCCCCCCTGTTGTTCTTTTGAGTGACCCTAACAGGTTTAAATTTCCTTTTCATTTCTCGGATCTTATGCGAAAAGACTTCTTGTTTTTTCTTTTACGTTGTTTTATTTCTTTGCACTGATTATTGTAATGGGTATCTTTTTCTTTATGAAATAGCATCTGAAAAGTTGGATTTAGGATCCTTAACCTATTTCTGTCCCCTTTTACTTAAAATCCTTAATGGCAAGCAAGAAGCAATATACTGTAGTAATGACGATGGTGGAGAATTCTGGCAAACTTCAAAAAGGCATTTGCCTGCCAAATTCAGGATGGGAGTTAAACATGGAAAATACAAAAAATAAATCCTTTTGTAAGTGCCACTTTCTTTTTTCTGAATAAATGTATGAGGTAAAGATGTAATCCTGTGCACTTATTTCAAAGTTAGTTTCATTAAATCAAGTCAGAGTTACTGGACTTGGAAGCATATATACAGAAATGTCTTTCATTAAATGTGCAAAGAATAGCGAAATTGTATTCACAAAAGCTTTCACGGCTGGGATCTAATGGTTGTTGTGGGTTTTTTGGGCTTTTGGGCCGTGTTCTGAAGGTTGTTCTTCCTAACTTTTCACCAGTCTCTGTGGCCAGCATCTTCAGAGGACATCTGAAGATGCCAGCCGCAGAGACTGGTGAAATGTTAGGAAGAACAACCTTCAGAACATGGCCGAAGAGGCCGAAAAGCCCACAACAACCAATAGTGAAACTGATAGATGGAGCATGATCATAAACATCCTTACATAAATGTCTCACTAAGTATAACTCTTACTTTCTGATTATAGCATTTAGGATTACATCCTAGGGTTGGTCTTTTTTTTTCTTCCATTTTCTCTTTTTGCTTGTCAAGCATGAAATGTAAACTCTGACAGGGTGCCAATAGCTAAGTAAGGTATATGCAAGGGAAATTTAGGATTGTGATATTTGAAGTTAGTGGTGGTTATTTCTGAGTAATAACCAGTATTGAGAGGATGAAGGACTGTGTATGACCAGATTATATTTATTTATTTATATCCCGCCTATCTGATCTTGCGACCACTCTAGGCAGTCTAATCAGCTAATCACTTCTAATTAACAAAAGCAATTTACAAGTGCTTTACAGAGATTTACAACACTAAAACAGAACATAAGAAATATGTTTGGAATGCATGTGTTAATTTCTTGTTTTTTTTTTTTTTCATTTCCTCCGAGGTAACTCGGGAATTTTAGCATTAAAATAGCATTATAATGTAGACTAACTCAGAGATCAACAGTAACTGTTTCAAATAAAGTTAGCCCACTAACTTGCTTTTTTGGCGTACGGAGAAGGTGCCTTAATATTAATATTACTTAAACTTAAAATATCAACGTCTGCACTTCCAGAAATAAAAGCAGATGGCAAAGGAAAACATTGTAATTCAATATTCTTCTTCATATGGCAATATTATATGTAAATTTTTGTCTTCTATGGGATAGTTTTTTGTCATAGAAACCTGTCTGCTCTAAAGTAGTGTACAGTCTATCCATCCCTCTATCTCTTCTTGCATAGCTATGCAAATAGGGTAACTTCTGGAGGAAGATTGCCCCATATTAAAAAAAAACATTCTAGAAATTATCACTTGTACAGGGAGGCACATACCCCTGTTGTTGTTGTTGTTTAGTTGTGTCTGACTCTTTTTGACCCCAGGGACCAGAGCACGCCAGGCCCTCCTGTCTTCCACTGCCTCCTGGAGCTGGGTCAAATTCATGTTGGTAGCTTCAATGACACTGTCCAACCATCTCATCCTCTGTCGTCCCCTTCTCCTCTTGCTTTCACACTTTCCTAACATCAGGGTCTTTTCCAGGGAGTCTTCTCTTCTCATAAGATGGCTAAAGTCATGGTCAGATCACCGCATAATTAAATGAAACCTCTCCGTGGCTCGCTCTCTCTGCGGGGAGCAAGGATCTATTTAAATAGTCTGCCCTCAAAGGTTACTGGATCCTATAGGATTCCAGGACTCCATGAGAGGGATTCCGGCTGATCTGACTGGCGCTCCTGTTGAGGCTCTGGTTGATGGCTGGCTTGCTGCCGCTACCAGGGCTGTTGACATGATCGCTCCTAAATGCCCTACCTGTTGCAGAGCTCATTCAGCACCCTGATTTAACCAGCAGCTGCAAGCTATGAAGCAAAGTAGGAGAAGGCTAGAGTGCAAGTGGAGACGTAACCCAACAGATTATAATCATAAAGCTGTCAGGATCACGGCTAACCTTTACCTTACCAGGGTGACAGCTGCCAGTCGAGCTTATTTCACTGTCCAGATAAGTGAAGCTTCAAATTAGCAGGCAGAACTTTTCTGTATGGTCCGCAATCTATCTGGAATTGGTCTAAGTGACAGGCCTCCTACTAGTATTTCACCTAACCAATTTGCAGCATTTTAAAAATCTAAAGTGGAGGACATCTGCCAGGAGCGCTCTCCTTTTTTGAACAGAGTAGATCGAGAAGGGATGTCCAGTGCTCCTCCTTGCCCAATGAGATTCGATCTCTTTCAGTCTGTGATGCCAGATATGGTGGCCAAATCGCTTGACTGCTCTTGTGCCACCACCTCCTCCCTTGACCGTTTCCTGGCCTGGCTAATCAAAGCAGCCAAGCCTATAAAAACCAAATAGGCCCCTGAAATAATTAATGGGTCTCTCCAGGAGCCATTCCTCTCAAGGACTGTCAAGAAGACACTCATTAGGCCCATTAGGAAAACCAGGTTTTTGCAGCAGACAACATTGGCAATTTTAGGCCTGTCGCCAATGTTTCTTTCCTCAGCAAAGTGGTGGAGAGGGTGGTGGCTGACCAGCTCCAGGCCCTTTTGGATGAAACCAATGCCCTGGATCCATTTCAGTCAGGCATGGTACGGAAATGGCACTGGTCGCACTGTTTGATGACTTGCTGAGGGAGGCAGACGGGGCAAAATGTCTCTGTTGGTCCTTCTGGATATCTCAGCCGCCTTCAATATTGTCGACCACAGTATCCTCCTGGGGAGGCTCTCCAAGCTGAGAATTGGTGGTCTGGTGCTAGCTTGGCTCCGATCCTTCTTGGAGGACTGTCCCAAGAGAGTACACCTTGGGGAGAGTGAGTCGGCCCCATGGAGCCTCAGTTGTGGGATTCCGCAGGG